TACATTTGGGTGTTAGAAATTATGGGAAAGCTGATCGTGACATTTGGCCACATCACTCTGTACACTAAGAAGCCCAGACTGCGGACAGTGTGTAAAATAGATGCCAATCAAGTTGTAAAAGATTCATAAGGAAGGAGGATTGTCCACTGTAGATGACCAGATTGCTCAGCACAGCCTGTCCCCTTCGGGGTAAGCATTGCTCAGGGCTCTTACTGGAAATACTGACTTATGACATAGGTGGGAGGTCCCTGCGGTGGGGGTAGAAGGAGCAGCCAATCATGGGGAGACTCTGCTGGAAGGGCAGCCAATCATGGGGAGACTCTGCTGGAAGGGCAGCCAATCATGGGGAGTCTCTGCTGGCTTTCACCATTGTGCCACTTCCCGTTGGTGGATGTGAAGGTCCCACCCCTGTCACTCTCACAACAACCTCCAAAGGTACACAGGAGACCCCTCCTCTTCTAGAAGAGTCTGGAGAGGCTCTGTGGCTTACCCAAAGGGACTGGGATCAGTGCTCAGAGCCTTGACTACTAACCAATCCAGCCCCCACCTCCGTGGCTGTGAGACTTACAAATGCCACTTAGCCTTTCCTGTTCCTTTTATCCTCTGAAAAGATGAGAGCAAGTTTTGCCCTCCTCTTGGAGATTAGCTGCTTGGTAGAGTTGGTAAATGCACACAGCAGGAGCAATGGTGTTCATCATCTTGGGTTCAAATCTGAGCTCTGCCATTTAACAGCTGTGTGACCTGAGGTCATTTACATGATTCTCTGGTCTTCATTTTCTGGGCTGGAAAGTGACAGTGAAGGATGATAAGGAGGGACAACAAGGCCACCGCAGTAGCTGTGTTCCAAGGTGAGGGAGCAGGAACACATGCCCTAACCTCCGACCTTGCACCACACTGCACTCTGACAAAGCCCAATGACCGATGGGGAAACCCAGGCAGAGAGTGCCCACAGTCAACTAGCGGGGTCCTGGGATTCAAGCTCAGATCATCAGCCTCAGAGACTCTAAAGTTCCTCCTTTCCTCACTATGGGTTTTACTCTGGGTTTTTTTCTCTTTTTTAAATTTTGTATTGTTATTATAGAGGTGATGTACAGAGGGGTTACAGTTATATACGTCAAGTAAAGAATACATTTCTTTTTGGACAATGTCACCCCTTCCCCTACTCACTTCCCATTTTCCCCTCCCATCCCCACACTTTGGGTTTTTGGTTTTTGGTTTTCAAACAAGCACTTTTGCGATCAGACAGAATTCAATGATCACTGCCCACGGTTGAAAAAGAGAGTCCTTTTTGTAAGGTCCGCTCCTGGATGGCCAGCAGACTCCACCCTCCTCGCAGCAAAGTCTCCACCCAGTACCTGCATTACCTAGGCAACTGGCACACCTGGAAGAGGTCACATCTGCATCCGCTGAGGTCACATCTGAATTTGATGTGGCCACAACTTTCTCTGCCCATACCCTAGATAAGGCCTAGCCTAGGCCCAGGTGCTCTTTCCCAGCTCTCTCTCTTTCCCTGCTCTCTTTCCCAGCTTCTCTCTCTTTCCCTGCTCTCTTTCCCAGCTCTCTCTCTTCCCCAGCTCTTTTTCCCAGCTCTTTCCCAGCTCTCTTTCCCAGCTCTTTCCCAGGCCTTTTCCCAGCCGCGTGTAGGGCCAACATGGCCTGGTGCCAGCCAGAACGATGAATAAACCTACCCCTTACCTGAATACCACTCGGCTACCTCTTTTTAAAAACCTAACACTTTTCCTAGAAAAGAGGATGCAGTCCAACAGCCTCACACCTGGGGACCATGGCGGCCAGCCTAGTGGAGGAACAGATGCCCCGGGGCCTTGCAGTCAGCCTGCTTCCTGTAGCCTTGCTGAAGCAGTGACCTTAGCAGGAGCGGCGGCCTGCGGGCATGGAGGCTAGGCCTGGGAGCACGTGGCACCCGGCCAGCCAGAGCTGAGCTTCCGAGGTCGCTGCTGTGGGAATTCCACAGCCCTGCAAACAGCGCCCTCCTGGATCTTCAAAGTGCCACCGGAGAGTGACGTGGCCCACGAGGCCCAGCCCTGGTTTACAAGGCAGGTGCAGGGCACAGCCATTCCCCTGGATAGACAGACATCCAGGGAGCAGAGGCCCCAGGGAGGGTCCTGGGGACATGCCCAAGGACAAGCTGCCCTTGTGGTCTGCCCTGTCGGCACTGGCTCTTCCACCTGCTCATCCTCACCCCGGGCCCAGCCTGGCGTTGCCATCTCCCCAGCAGGCTTTTCCTGGCAGTGCCTGTGGGATGGAACCCCTGCTGGGTGACACATGTGGCTCATGTCCCCCCTCCCGAGACCCCAAAACTCTCAGAGAAGCTGCTTCACTCAGAGGGCAGTGGCAGGGATGAAGGGCGTATGCTGCTAAACCAGCCTGGTACCCCGCACGAGGCATTGGTCAGTACCCAGCACATGGCAGGGGGTCAGTCCACACTCCCTGTGGCCCCAGCTGCTCACCCTGCCCAGCTAGGTGCGGCTTCGAGCAGGCAGGCCCCAGGGCAGGAGTCAGGGGCTGGACAGAGACATCACAAACCTCAGCCAGTGTGAGGACAGAGGGGCAGAGGGGCCCGGGCTACACAGGTCCCTGTGCTGAGCTACCACAAAGCCGCTGTCTCCAAACACACTCAGACTGTGGGGACCACCAAGCCCACCCAGTTCCAAGGGAACTGGGCCAAGACACCGCCAGCTGATGGGATTAGGGGCAGAGAGTGAGTGGGCACATCTCTAAAAGAACACAATCACTGAGAATCAAAGAGTATACTAGGGAGGATGCAAAGCATTATGGGAGCTCAGAGAAGTACCTTTCTCTCTACTTGGAAACATGAAGCAATCAGGGAAGACTTCCTGGAGATAGAGGGCAAAACAAAGCTCACAGGGCTGGGAAGGTGGCTCAGTGGTAGAGCGCTTGCCTTGCATGCATGAGGCCCTGGGTTCCATTCCTCAGCACCACATAAGCAAAAAGAAAAAAGCCGGAAGTGGCGCTGTGGCTCAAGTGGTAGAGCGCTAGCCTTGAGCTGAAGAGCTGAGGGACAGCGCCCAGGCCCAGAGTTCAGGCCCCACGACCGGACCCAAAAAAAAAAAAAAACCAAAGCTCACATATATAGGGACTTCTCGGGGGAAACTCGAAAAATAAACACAATCCCTATTATAAATATTATAACTCTTTCTCTCCTCTGTCTCTCTGTGTCTCTCTTTGTGTCTGCCTCTGTCTCTGTCTTTCTGTCTCTGTCTTTCTGTCTCTCTGTCTCTGTCTCTCTGCCACTCTCTCTGTCTCTCTGTCTCTTCCCTACCCCCCACCCCCTCACCCCACCTCCCACCCCCATTCTGAATATTGAAGTCAGGACCTTGGGCATGCTAGCCAAGTCTTTAACAGGTACTGGGGTTTGGATTTAGGATTACAGGCATGATCCACTAGTGCCAGTTTTTCTTTTCTTTTCTTTTTCTTCTTTTTAATTCTTTTATTATGCCACTATTTGGGGCTTGAACTCAAGGTTAAGTGACGTCCCTTAGCTTTTTCACTCAAGCGCTCTACAACTTGAGAGCCGCAGCTCCACTTCAGGCTCTTTTGGTTGGTGGTTAATTGGAGATAAGAGTCTCACAGATGTTCCTGCCCAGGCTAGCTTCAAAGTATGATCCTCACATCTCAAGCTCCTGAGTAGCTAGGATGACAGGGGTGAGCCACCCCTCTGGAACTTGACAAGACATAGTCCTTTTCCGCAAGTTAGACTTCAGAACAGTTTATCAGCTTCAGGTTCCCTGAATCATAGATGACCAATGGTGGCCTTGCATGTCCTGGTGAGATCTGAATATCACCAGAAGCGCTCAGCTCTGTAAATCCTGGCAAGATGACTTAACAGTCAGCACTCACTAACATCTTAGCAGCTAAAGTCTTAACATCTGGAAGGTAGTCTCTGGAGGCAGAGGCAAAAGTACCCAGGAGTTTGAGGCCAGCTCGGGCTACACAGGTAGACTCTGCCTTGAAACCCAAATGAAATGAAGAGCCAGAAAGCCCGGCCAACGGAGAGGAAGTAAAAGTAGCTGTGGCAAGGACAACTCCCAAAGGCATGGCCCTGGTCCGGTCACTTTCGGTGGCTGTGTCACAATCAGTGCAGCTGGGGCCCTGCCTGGAGGACCTGGGGTGGCCTTCGTTCCTCCCCCGCCCATCCCCCCCCTGTGTCCACACACACACACACACACACACACACACACACACACACACACACACACACACACACACACGGCCGCAGGTCCCTGCACCAGGATGTGTTTGCACACTGACATGATTACGTACTGTGGGGCAAGTTCCACATGGAGAGCCTGTGGTCACAGGGTGGGCAGCTGTGTCAAGAGCTTCTTTGTGTGTGGTGGCTGCTTGCTTAGTATTATTTCTTTTGTTTTGTTTGGGGACAAAGTGTTTAAAGATTTGCCAGGCTGCCCTGCAGAAAATTAGAACACTAGTAAGGCTTAGAGAGAGACAGAGACACAGAGACAGAGACAGAGAGACACAGAGACAGAGACAGAGAGAGTGCCCAGCACAAAGAAAGGACAGGGCTGGGATGCATCACATCTGGTTTTCCTCCTGGGTCTGCCATGTGCTGGCTTGTGATCTTGACAGAGAGCCTCAGTTTCCTCATCTGCCCCCAGGGTCTGGGGGGTGTATCTCCAGGGGAAGCAGCAGGTGTTCGGCCTTGGGCCACGCCCCCTTCCTAAACCTGCCAGGAGTCACAGGGCTGCTTTCTTCCCTCCCTCCGCCTGCCATTCTAAATTCTTTAAGGTACACGGTCCCCCACTTTGTAGCCCAGGCTGGCCTTGACCCCTGACGCCCGCGGTGTTGCCCAGTTCCCGCCTGTGGGGCCTCCTCTTCCCGCTCTGCTCCCAGCTGCCCTCCCCTCCCTTCCTTCCTCATGACCAGCCCCACCCAAGGCTTGGCTATTTAAAGAGCCAGGTCCAGCCCACCACAAGACAGTTTCTGCCCAGCGCACTGACAATCCAGGATGGAGACAGTGAATGCTGAGGCCCTGCTGCCCATTCTGCTGGGGCTGCTGCTGGCCGTCACCCCGGGGACTCTGAGTGCCAACCCTGGCCTAGTGGCCAGGATCACCGGCAAGGGCCTGGAGTATGGTAAGAAGCCCTGCTGGGGGCTGGACCTGAGGGTCTGGCACCAGGCTGCTCTGGGCACCGACAGGCACAGACAGACCCCCTTCTGACCAGGTGCCCCCAACCGTGTGGCTCACACCCTATATGCAGTGGCAGGGGTCCCCCAAGAGTGGATGCAGAAGAGACTTCAGGGAGCCCAGTAGGGAGGGGGCAGGGGAGGTGAGGAGGAGGAGGGGGCCAGCAGGGGCAATGCTACCCCCTCAGTGCACCCCAGGCATGGGGTGGAGTTTGAAAACACACTTTAAAGCCTCCTGGCAGGAGGGGCTCAGGGGACCAAGCAGAGCCTCGTATGGACTTACCAGTTCAACTATTAGCGTGGTACAGTCAATTCATGCCTGTAATCCTAGTTCCTTGGGAAGCTGAGACCTGAAGATTGAGGTTCAAAGTCAGCCCAAGCAGACAAATTCAAGAGACTCTTAAATAACAAAATGCTGGATGCAGAGGCATGGCTCAAATGCTCAAGAACACTAGCTTTGAACTAAAAAAAAAAAAAGGCAACTGAGGGTTCCAAAGCCTAAGAGTTCCAAAGCCTCAATACTTGCACATACACGCAAATTCTTTTTAATTACTTAGCTACATAATATCTATCAGATGCTTCATGTAGTGACTGCTCAGTTTTATAGAATGGGTCCAAGGACTCTGCAGGCAAAAGTAGGCTAAGGGGGAAAAAAAAAAAGCCAGGCATTGGTGGCTAACACCTGTCATCCCCGCTACTTGGGAAGCTGAAATCAGTAGGATGGAAGTTCAAATCCAGCCAGGTTAAAAAAAAAATTCATAGGGCCCTCCCCTCCCCACCAATAAAAGAGCTGGGTATGAGGGTTCATGTTTGTCATCCCACCTACAGTGGGAAGTATCAAATAGAAAGAGGGTGGTCAGACCAGCCTGGGAAAGGTAAGAACCTATCTCAAAAGCAACCAGAGTGAAAGGGACTGGGGGTGTGGCTCAGGTGGTAGGTAGAATGTTTGCCTGCAATGTGGAAGGCTCTTGATTTCGAACTCCAATACTGGCTTCCCCCAACCAAGAAGAAAAAAAAAAAGCTGGTAAAAGTAGCACTATTGTTTCCCAAAATATTCAAACAAAATCTCTCAATCATCCTGCCCAAGGAACAAGGGAAGGGAAGGGTTGTGTTTCTACTCCCAAATATGACACACGTGTGGGACTTCTGCTGCTTTTCTAGATGAAAGCAGTCATACTCCTCAGGTAGGTAAGGCTGTGGGATTCCCAGACAGACCAGGGACAGAAAGGGGAATCAGGGAGGGCTTCCAAGAGAAGGTAAAACAAAAACAACACAAAACAAACAAACAAAAACAGCCATAGGAATTCAACAGAGCAAAGAATGGCATTCCAGCCAGAGCAACCTTGTCATGCTCATTTGCTAGAAAGAAGAAGGCAAACTGAAAGGGGCAAAAAGGGAGGCCCATGGTCACCTGTGTACAAACACGCTGCAGGTGGCAGGTGCCGGGGACCCTGGAGTCTCAGGAGAAATAATAGTGCCCACTGCCTGCTGTCTGTATCCAAACCCTAGATCCAGAATACTTGTCTTCTGCCCTTTCCCAATGCACCTGCACCCAGGACCGCACAACCAATCACCCGAAGCTGGCCATCTTGGTCCTGTCCCATATTCTGAATGGTATGAGCCCCTGGTCGGGCTCATAAAGGCAGTCCATCCATCACAGGGACACCAGGAGAACCAAGGGGCACACTAGGCTGGGTGGGAGCCCCTGGAGAGTTTAGAGCGGGGGAAGGGGGCAGGCAGGCCAGGCTGACTCCCGCCCTTCCCCTGTCTGCAGCGGCCAAGGAGGGACTGCTAGCCCTGCAGAGAGACCTGAGCAAGATCACCCTGCCGGACTTCACCGGGGACTTCAAAATCCGCCCCATAGGCCGAGGACACTATGACTTCCACAGGTGGCTGGGCCAGGGGCGGGTGGGATGCTGGCAAGCAAGGCAGAGTCCAGGGACTGGGTTAGGATCCATTTCGGACAGACGGCAGGAGTTTAGAAGGGAAATCCTGGAAAGGCACCCAGCTCCTGTGCCCATCATCCAAGAAGGTTAGCAAGGACCTGGTGGTGTCTGTGACCCGAGCCTCAGTTTCCTCCTCTGTACAGTGCAGTTGGTTGCTGCTCCCTCCTTTCTGAGTGACAGTCCAGAAGCCAACCTGGCCACCCTGCATATAGCCCAGATAGGCCTGAAAGTTGAAGTACACTAGCTCAGTTATTAGTGTTGCATTTTCTGGGTGCGGAAAACATCAGGGAAGGCTTCCCAGAGGAGGTGGCACCTTTGCTGTCGTGGACGAATCACGAGATATAAGAAGCTCGCACTTTTTAGAATAGACAGCAGAAGGAGGAAGGCAATCAGACCTACAGCTTCTCACCACCCCTTTTCATGCTCACAGCTGGACCAGAGCTGTTTGTGCCTGATTTCTGTCTGAGGAGTCAGGTGGCTGCTGAAACAAGTCCCGCAGGGGGCTCAGAAAAGGGAGCAGGGGCCCTGGTGAGGGGGTGCAGGCCGGGCCTGACGCCTCACTTCACATCCATACCCACAGCCTGGAGATCCACAGCTGCGAGCTGCCACACTCCACCCTGAAGCCCCTCCCCGGCCAGGGCCTGAGTCTCTCCATCTCCGATTCCTCCATTGGGGTCCAGGGCAGGTGGAAGGTGCGAAAATCTTTTGCGTAAGTCCATCCCTCTCCCTGGTCCTGGGGCCCTGACCTTGGCCTCCACCTCCTTCTTCCTGGTTGCAAAGTATTTGTAGTTCATCAGAAAGGTGGTAAGCTCCAAAGTAGCCCGGATGGAACTCAATTAGATCAGAGACCTCCAAGGGGAGGGAAGGGTTAAGAAAGGGAAAAAGAGTCGGCCTGAGCCAGGCAGAGGTGGCTCACGCCTGTCATCCTAGCTACTCGGAAGGCTAAGAGCTGAGGATGGTGGTTCAAAGCCAGCCTGGGTAGGAAAGTCCGTGAGACTCTCATCTCCAATGAACCACCAGAAAACCAGAAGTGGCACTGTGGTTCAAAGCGCTTGCCTTGAGCAGATACAAGAAGCTCAGGGATAGCACCCAAGCCCCAAGTTCAATCCCAAAACAAACAAGGAGAGAAAAAATACCCACAAAAGATCAGCTCGGTGAGGGAAAGGCTGTTGGGGACCAGGGGGACAGGAAGACAGCTGAGACCGGAATACTGAGCTCAGCTGAGGCACCTCATCTTTGTCTGCCCTTGGGGACCCGACCCGGCACTGTCAGCCTTGCTGGGATTGTCATAGCAAAGTGGTCAGGGTGTGGGTGGGCCTGGTTTTGCTCCCTCTACCCCCTGCCCTTGGCTCTACCCACATGGCACTGTGTCCTCTCTGCCTTTCCTCCGGTCCTAAACGTGAGCATGCCCCCAAGTCTGAAGGACCTGGGTCAGGTTGGGTGAGGGCCCAGCCTCCTGACCTCCATTCTGAGACACTTCTTCAACACAGTTGCATTCTGGGTACCAGGGCTCAGGGCTTCCACACCGAAATCGGGGAAGGACACAGCACAGCCCAGAGCACAAGAGATGCCAGTACCCACTGGGTGACACACCTAACCTTGCCCTGCTCTGATTTCTTGCTGTTTAATTGGAGATGGAGTCTCACAGACTTTTCTGCCCTGGGCTCAAACTGTGATCCTCCGGATCTCAGCCTTCTGAGTAGCTCGGATTACAGGTGTGAGCCACTGGCACGCGGTTTTGTTTTCTCCTTGTTGATAATCCTTCACAGGCTTATTTGTCTTTGAACTTGCTGTTCATGTCTTTGGATTTTAGAACTTGGCAGTCCTTTTGTCCTTTTCTTATCAATGTATCCCTTGTCTGCGAAGGCAATTAGATCATATATTAAATATATTAGCCACTGGCTGTTTTTTTTTCTTATTGAATTTTTGTTCACTTGTGTGAATGTATGACTGGTGAGCTATAAATCGGCTCTGCCTCTCCCTGACCATAAATAACTTGAGTTCTCTTCTAGATCTTTAATCCTAGATCTTTGTTTAGCTCTGCTTTTTGTTTTCTTGGGTGTTTTTATTTTATTTTTTTCAGTTGTAGGGCTTGAACTCAGGACCTGGGTACTGTCCCTGAGCTGATTTCTGCTCAAGGCTAGTGCTCTGCCACTTTGAGCCACAGCTCTTTTTCCGGTTTTCTGATAGTTAATTGGAGATAAGAGTCTCACAGACTTTCCCACCTGGACTGGCTTTGAACCTTGATCCTCAGATCTCAGCCTCCTGAGTAGCTAGGGCTATAGGTATTGAGTCATTGGTGCCCAGCTTTATTTTTTGAGATGAGATGAGTTCTGGTCTCTCCCCATGGAGGCCGAGGGGAGGATGGAGGGGTCACGCTGCCTGCCTGGCCTCCCCCAGGAAGCTCCAGGGCTCCTTTGACCTGCTGGTCCAGGGCCTCACCATCTCCGTGGACCTCCTCCTGGGCACCGGCCCCTCAGGGAGGCCCACGGTCACTGCCCCCCGCTGCAGCAGTCGCATCTATGATGTTGACGTGGACATATCTGGAAGTCTGGGGTAAGTTGCCATTGGGAAGATCCCCTGCCTGACCCACGGTGCAGCCCATGCCCACCCCCAGGCCTGCAGCCCTCCCCCCCACCAACACCAGCTCTGGAATAGGAGGCATTCACGCATGCACCTTTGGGAACCCTGTGCACACAAACAGAGGCAAATTTAAGCAGGAGAGTAGGTGTGCCATTTGCACAGGATACGTCAACTTTAAGGGACCCTTTGTCAAATAAATCAAAGTTGGCTTTTGGCTGAAGGAGAGTGTGTAAGAAAAAAATAGACAAGGGCTGTGGTCAAGTCATGACACCTCAAAGTTTCTACGTCCTCGATTTTAAAAATGTGGAATCTCCAGCCGCTCCCCCAATTCCACTGAACTTGACAGGGAGGGGGGTGGCTGGGAGTCTGCCACTCTGAGCTCATAGGGAACTTTGTGCTGGGACACTGGGCCCGACAGGGTGCAGGATGGAATGCCCTCCCCCAGAGCTCCCTGTCCAGTGGCAGACTGTCCTCCTTGGCTATGCTCTGCTTCCTGCCAGGTGGCTGCTGAGTCTCTTCCACAACCAGATCGAGTCCAGGTTCCGAAAAGTGCTGGAGGACAAGGTAAGAAACGCAAGGCTAGTCAGGAACTGCTAGCTCAAACCTGTAATCCCGACTATTCAGGAAGCTGTGATGTGAGGATCTCAGTTCAAAGCCAGCTTGGAACAGGAAAATTTGTGAGGCTCTCTTATCTCCAATTAACCAGCAAAAAAAAAAAGCTGGAAGTGAGATGTTGGTTTAAGTGATAGAGCACCAGTCTTTAGTGAAAAAGCTTAGGGACAGTACCCAGGCTCTGAGTTCAAGATCCAGTACTGGTACAAAAGAAGAGGAGGAAGAAGAGGAGGAGGAGGAGGAGGAGGAAGAAGAGGAGGAGGAGGAGGAGGAGGAAGAGGAGGAGGAGGAAGAGGAGGAGGAGGAGGAGGAGGAGGAGGAGGAGGAAGAGGAAGAGGAGGAGGAAGAAGAGGAAGAGGAAGAGGAAGAGGAAGAGGAAGAGGAAGAGGAAGAGGAAGAGGAAGAGGAAGAGGAAAGAGGAAGAGGAAGAAGAAGAAGAAGAAGAAGAAGAAGAAGAAGAAGAAGAAGAAGAAGAAGAAGAAGAAGAAGAAGAAGAAGAAGAAGAAGAAGAAGAAGAAGAAGAAGAAGAAGAAGAAGAAGAAGAAGAAGAAGAAGAAGAAGAAGAAGAAGAAGAAGAAGAAGAAGAAGAAGAAGAAGAAGAAGAAGAAGAAGAAGAAGAAGAAGAAGAAGAAGAAGAAGAAGAAGAAGAAGAAGAAGAAAGAAGAAGAAAGAAGAAGAAGAAGAAGAAGAAGAAGAAGAAAGAAGAAGAAGTAGTCAAGACCCTTCCATGCGTCTGTCATGCACAAACCACTCACCGGGGTCACAGAGCTGGTCTGTGGCCGAGCTCCGGGCCACACCCAGGTGTCTGGACTCCATGACCATCTAGTTACAGAAGGCATTGGCTGCCTGGCATGGGTAAAACAGAAGCAGAGGGAGGGGAGAAAGGAGCCCCCAATCTGCATGCTCAGTCTTGCTCACCGTCCCCACACTACCCAGAGTCCCTAAGACCAAAAGGAAGCCATCACTCAGCTGCCCCTAGAGACCAGGAGGGGGCGGGGCCTAGGTAGAGCTTGGCCGGTATGGGGGGAAGGGGGTGCCAAGGGTCAGACTTCCCTGTTCAAAAGTATTGTGAAACGTCCAGACTTTGTACACTTTGGCTAACGCAAGGAGGTATCCGGTTCACTTCCATTCCTTTGCACTCTCACCCCCAACACGGGGTACTGTGTCTATGCCAATGACTGTGTGGGAAAGGAGGAGAAAGTGAAAAAGTTGAACTCTCTTTCTCTCTTGTTCTTCCTCTTTCTCGGGCCAATCTCTGGTTTGGCTTTGTGCGCCCCCTGGTGGTAGAAGCAGGAACAGCAAACACTGCTCTATTGCCCTCCTTCCCCACCCGCCCTCCCGCTTCCTTTCTGATTCTGGGGTTCTCAGATCTAAGCAACTTGAGAAATACCCACCCTCCTGCTCCAGTACCCCATGTGCTGCCTTTTATTTCCCCTGTGGATGATGGAGATAGCAGTGATTAGTAACAGTATTATGTAACAATAATAAAACATTGCAGTTAAGTGTAATAATTATCACAGTCCTAAAACACTGTGATCATTACTGTTTTGAGACACTACTACAGAACATATTATTGTGCAAATATTCCATTTTTGTGTCAGTCCCAGGGCTTGAACTCTGGGCTTGGGTACTGTCCTTTTTTTTTTTTTTTCAAGGCTAGTGCTCTACCACTTAGCCATACTTCCACTTCCGATTTTCTGCTGGTAAAATGGAGATAAGAGTCTCACTGACTTTACTGCCCAGGCTGGCTTCAAACCTCAATCCTCAGGTCTCAGCCTCCTGAGTAGCTAGTATGACAGGAGTGAGCCACTGACACCATTTAGAAAGCATTTTTGATGGTGGCCTCTCCAACCTACCATCTTTGCGGGGGGCTTCTCCAGCGCAGGCCTTGGGGGGCATCTGAGCTGTCCTGTTGGGTTCTTCCAGAGACCACAAAGGATCCACATGTAGTTTAATCCTGTCTGTCTCCTTGTGCCTGGCACATGACAAGCTCTTGGAGATGTTTAGGGAATCCGTGATCACTATGCAGACTTGGAAATGTTTCTCAAGGGCCAGCCCTGGGCTGGGGAACTCAGTCCTGCTCTCTTTCTCGCTCTTCTTGTCAGATTTGTGAAATGGTCCAGAAATCAGTGGCCTCCGACCTGCAGCCTTACCTCCAAACCCTGCCAGGTAACGGATGTTTCAACCACCCCTGGGCCTCTTGATTTCCATTTGGTTCCATAAGAGCATCTGTTTCTCAAACATAAATGGGACAGAAGTATAGAAAAGAACAATTTAAAATCCCTTTGCCCCTCAGCTTTTCTTCCCACAGGTGACTTCTATTTAGGGGTATATCTTTTAAGATGTTCAAGGTATTTTCTTTGTGTATCAGCATGGGAATATAAGCACTTGTACACATTCTTATTTGTGATCATATAGGTATGTAAGTAATCATGGTGCACGTCCCTTAGCGTACACAAGACACATGATATTTTTTGTTCAGGGGACTTGAACTAAGGGGTTAGGCACTGTCCCTGGGTTCTTTTACCTAAGGCTAGCACTCTACCACTTTGAGTCACAGCGCCACTTCTGGTTTTCTAGTGGTTAATTGGAGATAAAAGTCTCACAGGGACTTCTCTGCCTGAGCTGGCTTCAAACAGTGATCCTCAAATCTCAGCCTCCTGAGTAGCTAGGATTACAGGCGTGAACCACCAATGCCCAGCCACCCACTTCTTTTTAAATCTCTAATCTTAGGGAAACCTCTAGGTCAGCATATGTCAAATGAAGTCATTTTTAAAACTTTTTTTAAGTACTGGGATCTGCGCTTGAGGATTCAGGTTCTCTAACACTGAGCCATACCTTTAACCCATTTTGCTCTTGCTATTTTTTAGATAGGATCTCACTTTTTGTGTTTTTTTTGGGGGGGTCCGGTCCTGGGGCCTGAACTCTGGGCCTGGGCACTGTCCCTCAGCTCTTCAGCTCAAGGCTAGCGCTCTACCACTTGAGCTACAGCACCACTTCCGGCTTTTTTTTTTCTTTTTGCTTATGTGGTGCTGAGGAATTGAACCCAGGGCCTCATGCATGCAAGGCAAGCACTCTACCACTGAGCCACCTTCCCAGCCCAGGACCTCACTTTTTTTTGCTTGAGTGCATGCCTGGACTGTGAGCCTCCCATTTATTCTTCCCATCCTGGCCAGGATAACAGGAGTATATCACTGCACCCAGCTTTTATTGATTGAGATGTGGGGGAGAGAGGACCCCACTAATTTTTTGCCAGACTGGCCTCAAATCTCCATCTTCTTGATTACACCTCCCAAGTCGTCAGGATGACAGGGGTGAGCTATCTTTGCTCACCCCATTCTAGTGTAACTGTCTGTAAGTGGTACCCTGGCTCTTGATGCCCACCAAAAGCGTGGAAGGACAGCACCTGACGATTGTCTGAGAGAATCCCAGATATAGTACTGGTTCGTCTGAGGCCCAGGCTGGGGGACAGGGAACCCTCACTCATCATGACTTCTGGGCCTGGGGGCCAGGGCTGGGGCAGGTGGGGCAGGGCTGTGGGGAAAGCCCTGGGTGTGAGAAATCAGCCCGAAGCCTCTGCTCTTCTCCAACCACCTAGGCTGAGCCTGGTCCATAATCCTGTCCCTTGTCTGCTTCACAGTCACCGCCAAGATTGACAGCCTCGCGGGCATCGACTACAGCCTAGTGGAGGCCCCTCAGGCCACAGCCCAGGCACTGGACATGATGTTCAAGGTGAGGCCTTGCAGCAAGCTGGGGGGGGGGGGGGGGAGTCCAGAGGCAGTGCAGAGCCTCAGCTCAGCCCAAGCCCCCCGCCACCCATCCTCCTAACTTCACAGCTGCCCTGTCTCCCCAGCCATGCCTGCTGTGCCAGAGGTAGGGCAATATGGAGCTATGGGGAGCCGCCCACCCTTAGGTCTTAGGTCATGGGGCTTGAACTCTGGGCCTGGGCGCTGTCCCTGAGCTCTTCAGCTCAAGGCCTGTGCTCTACCACTTGAGCCACAGCACCACTTCCAGTTTTCTGGTGGTTCATTGAAGATAAGAATCTTACGGACTTTCCTGCCCAGGCTGGCTTTGAACCGTGATCCCCAGATCTCAGCCTCCTGAGTAACTAGGATTACAGGCAGGAGCCACCCATGCCCCGCTCACCCTTAGGTCTTATAACACACCCTTCCCCTCCTCCTTGCCAGTAGGGGGACTGGCTGGTGCATCCTGGCCCCAAGTAAACATGGATTTCACTGGGAGGCTCCAGCTAGAGCCCCTGCATGGGTGACTCAGGGCCCAGCGTCCAGCTCAGAGACAGGCTGTGAAAAGTCCAGTGAGATCCCCTTTCTGTCTCCAGGGTGAAATCTTCAATCTCCACAATCGCTCTGAGGTGGCAGCACACGCTCCAGTCATGAGCCTTCCCGAGGATCACGAGAAAATGGTCTACTTTGCCATCTCCAGCTATGTCTTCAACACCGCCAGCCATGTTTATCACCAGGCCGGCTACCTTAGCTTCTTCATTACAGATGACATGGTGAGGAGGGAAGCAGAACGGGGCCTCTCCCTGACATTGTAAAACAGTTCTGTTTACACTGAGAAAAAGATCAGTGGCGGGGGAGGGGGGAATACAAGTCGGCCCAACTTTCCCTTATTGCTTTGGCTGCCAGGAAGCTCAAAGCCCAAGTTCTTTTTCCTTTATAACAACTACTGAAGACATTGCAGTGTGCATATCTACATTTCACTTTTCTCTTTGTCTGTGCCTATGAGTAGCTGTAGTAGCAGCGGCAGTACCAACGCTTTGATTCATTCAGTGTCTCCAGTTTGCCTAGATGAGCTCTAGCTCTTGAGCCACACCTCCAGCCTTGTTTTGCTGCTTATGTTCCCGTTGAGTGCTGACTGTGAACCTTGACCCTCAGGTTCTCAACCTCCTGAGTAGCGAGGATGACACGTGTGAGCCTATGGCAACCCAGTTGAGACCTATTATTCTAATTCACATTTAAAAAATCTGAATGATTTGTTGAAATTTCTTGAAAATGTTTTAGTGAATGAGGCAAGATTACCCATTCCTGGGTAAATGCATACAGTTATCGTAGAAAAGGGGACAAAGACCAAATCAAAAGTAAACAAACCATCAGGGGCTGGGAAGGTGGCTCAGTGGTAGAGCGCTTGCCTTGCATGCATGAGGCCCTGGGTTCGATTCCTCAGCACCACATAAGCAAAAAGAAAAAAAAGCCGGAAGTGGCGCTGTGGCTCAAGTGGTAGAGTGTTAGCCTTGAGCTGAAGAGCTGAGGGATAGCACCCAGGCCCAGAGTTCAGGCCCCACGACCGGACCCAAAAAAAAAAAATATATATATATATAAACCATCATGATGAAGCTGGACCTATAAGTAGATCTGTTTTAATTTTATAAAAATCTAGGAGCAACCTTGTAGTTGAAGTGAAAAGGGCACATGGTTTAGGTCACAGCTCCAAGTCACCTATCTCCAGCAGAGACCAGCGTTGATGGGTAGTGACTCATATCTGCTCTACGTCTTCAATCTCTTTAGTATTTCTGGGGTTTCAACAATGGTTCCTTGGGCTGGGAAGGTGGCTCAGTGGTAGAGCACTTGCCTTGCATGCCTGAGGCCCTGGGTTCGATTCCCCAGCACCACATAAGCAAAAAGAAAAAAGCCGGAAGTGGCGCTGTGGCTCAGGTGGTAGAGCACTAGCCTTGAGCTGAAGAGCTGAAGGACAGCGCCCAGGCCCAGAGTTCAGGCCCCACGACTGGACCCAAAAAAACAAAAACAAAAACAAAAAACAATGGTTCCTTGTAACACCTCTTAAAAACTGAGGTCCCACCAACAATGCCAGGTTGTTGAGGGGTCGCGGTGTATTCTGGGAGGCTCTGGGTGAACGGGTGACTTGGTCCTGTGGGTAGCTGCCCAGAGGCCACCCAGGTCACAGTCCGAGCCACAGCTCGGCCCATGTGACCACACACCTCAACCCTGGAGACCCCGTGTGTGGGGCCCGCGCCTCACCTGGTCACCCGGACCACAGACACGCCCTGGGGACTCAGAGTATGTTCACACATCTCTTGTTGCCCACTCACCTTGCAGGGAGATGCCATCATCTCTGCCCTCCCCCATAAGTCCCGTTAGACCTCCCCCTAAACCGTCTTTGTGCCTCTTTGCTACAGATCCCGTCTGATTCGACCATCCGCCTGACCACCAAGTCCTTCCGAGCCTTCGCCCCCCGGGTAAGGGGTCCCTCACGCTCTGTGGGGGCCGGCCAAGCCTCCCCCCCCAGCCTTCCAGACTTCCCTTTGAATCCTCTGCCTCCCTCTCCACTTGACCAGGGGCAGAGGTCAGCAGGGAGGCCCCCCGGGAAAGGCCGGGGAGCTGCAGGTTTGGGGATTTCTCACAAAACCTGGCAGCAGAAGCTGGGTGCACCCCCCCCCCTGCCACCTGCCATGTCTCCTGGGGCCCCACAGGTTATCCAATCTGTTCATGATGCTGCCTAATGATCTCTAAGAATTCTGGCATATTCTACAAAGGATACCCTAATTAATAACATCTAGCAATTATACAGGGCTTACCAGGGACCAGGCATATTTAGGATACTTTTTACAATTATTTTCTTTAAAGCTAGGCACCAGTGGCTTACACCTGTAATCCTGGTTACTGAGGAGGCTGAGGTCTGAGGATTGCTGTTTGAAGCCAGCCATGGCAAGAAAGTCTGTGAGACTCTTACATTCAATTAAAAACCCAAAAAAGGCCAGGAGTGGAACTGTGGTTCAAGTTGTAGAGGACTAGTCTTCAGCACAAAGGCTGAGGGAATGTGTTCAATCCCTAAGCATCCAACCAGGCCCTGAGTTCAAGCCCCAGGTCCCCCCATCCCTGACACAGAAACAACTCCCTGTCTTTTGACCCAGAAATTCTATCCCCAGGAATGCCTTCCTCAAAATAATAGCTAAGAGAACTGGGCAGGAGAGTGAGTCTCTTACTGGCAAAAGCTTGAGACCACCTTCTTCTTAGTATGGCAGTAGTACCATGCACAGCGAAATGCAATGCAGCCCTGATACATGATGCAGACTCTGTCTCACCTAATTCTGCCACTCCACCCCTCCTCAGATAGCCAGACTATACCCCAACATGAACTTGGAGCTCCAAGGAGCAGTGGTCGCTGCTCCGCTCCTCAACTTAAGTCCTGGGAATCTGTCCCTGGCGCCACAGATGGACATCCAGGCATTTGTGCTGCTGCCCAGCTCTGTCCAGGAACCTGTTTTCCGACTTGCTGTGGTAAGGTTCCGAGGCTTTCCAAAAGCTGTTCCCTCTTCCTACCTCCTCCCTCCTCCCCCTCCTCCTCCCTCCTCCTCTCCCTCCCCCTCCTCCCCCTCCTCCTCCCCCTCCTCCTTCCCCCTCCCCCTCCTCCTCCTCCTCCTCCTCCCCCTCCTCCTCTTCTTCCTCTTCCTCCTTTCATTCAGTTCTTGAATCTGGGAAAGTAAGTCAATAACTGGCTCACACACGCACCAAAGGGGTTCTCTCCATGGTATTTATTATCTACGGGTATTTAAGTATTTACTTTCAGATTTCCTTTTCCTTTATGTCAGTGTATGACTGACTCAGTTCCTCTGAGTCAGTGGAAGAAGAAATGTGGGGTTTTGTCCTGTTAGCTCTGCAGGGTCTCTATAGCTGACCTTTGAAGACTACATATCCCAGAGTACCTTGCAGTCTGACTTCCAGCCTCATCAGCCAATGGGAGACCCTTTCAGGAGAAGGGAGGGCAGGATCAAGGAAGAAGCCAATGCAGTGTTTGCTTTCTGCCTTGGGCAGGCTCTGGCCAGGACTTTGGTGAATGTTAAACTCTCCACCCTTTGTTCCTCTAGTCCTCCTGGTATGAGCAGCCTCTGCTAAAATCCCCGAGCTGCTTAACAATTCCTTTCATGGCTTTTCAAAATTCCATCACTTGTATAAATAATTCCCTTCCTTAAATTCCCTCTGCATTAAATATTGAGTGTTTTTTTTTTTCCCCTTGATGAACCCTGTTTGATAAAGAAAGTTTCTGAGTCCTTTGGATGTCTGCATGGAGAACTCGGGGCTGCCTTATTTTAGGTTTGTAATTCAAGCTCCATCTCTCCAGAGCGGATCAGCAATTCGGCAGTGTTGTTGTGGATAGCAAAATAGTTCCCATTGTTCACATAGGTTTAAATAAAATAGCACTTATTTCTACAGCCAGAGATGATCCTTCTGAGAACTCTCCAGGGATAGGTGAAGCTCGGCCTTCTCTCCCTTGCCTGCTCAATGTTTAATTGCAGTCACAGGCAGCAGTTTCAAGGAAAAAAAAAAAAAATGTTCAAGTCCAAGTTGGAACATGTATTGACCATCTACAATGAGTATACCCTGGGACCCTGCAGTCCAGTGGGCAAATTTCCTGCCTTAACTCACTGAGCTGTTCGTTGGGTGGCCAGCAGACAGCTAGCTGGTCATCAAGCCTGACATGACAGCTGCCATCATTTAAACTTGTTGCTTTTCTTCTGGCTTTTCTAGGGCACTAATATATCCGCCATGCTGACCTTGGACACGAACAAGGTCACAGGGTTCCTGAACCCGGGAAAGTAAGTCAGCCTTCCTTCTCCATGGATGCTTAGCTGGGCTCCACTCCATAGCTGGGGGAGGGGGGGAAAGGGAAGTACAATCCTCATCAAAACAGAGGGGAGGGGGTCCCCCCTTTGAGAAGGAAGCAAACATCATCACTATTGGCTCAATTCTTCTGTCCTGTCGATTCTGCCCCACAAATTTCAAATTTCTAAGTAACTCACTAATACTGATTATTCCTTTGGAGTCAGCTGAATTAACTTGTTGTTTGTTACTCAATCTTTTTTGGCCAAACCCTCACCTCATGTGTCTCAAGCTAGTGGCTCAGGCTTCCTGTGGGTACCATGCTCACTCTGTGAATTTTCTCTGTTTGGTTATAGGCTACAAGTAGAACTGAAAGAATCCAATGTTGGAATGTTCAATGTAAGTCTTGTTTGTATTTACAGCACCAGGTAATTGAGGGTGTTTCCTAAGTCGTTGCTGTTGCACAGAGAATCGGAGCTAGGGAAGGAGAAAACCAGCCCTCTCCCTAGAGACATGGAGGAATGCTCAGGAACACAAGATATAGAACCAAGAAATCCATATCTCCCAATATAAAACAAAATTAAGATGTCTGTTGGAGAGCGGGGAGCCAGTGGCTCGTGCCTGTAATCCTAGCTACTCAGGAGGCTGATATCTGAAGATCATGGTTCAAAGATAGCCCAGGCAGGAAAGTCTGTGAGACTCATCTCCAATTAACCAACAACAACAAAAGAAGAGTCTTACAGACTTTCCTGCCCAGGCTGGCTTTGAACTAAGATCCCCAGATCTCAGCCTCTTGAGAAGCTAGGACTGCAGTAGTGAGTCACCAACACCGGGCTCAAAATAGTTTTAATTTATAAAATGGCAGCATGATGTAGTTAAGCCTTTGCCCTGTCAGCATGCAGAACCATCCCAGCTCCGGGGTGGCTGTGAGACAAAGTGACCCCGTGGTCACACTACACTTCTCTATCTTCCCACCAGGTGGAGCTGTTGGAAGCACTCCTCAACTACTACCTTCTCAACACCCTCTACCCTCAGGTCAACGGTAAGATTCGCCGGGGATTTCCCAGATCTCCAAGAGTGACACTGCTCCTGAGGGGAGGAAGGGAGCATTGGACTTGGGGCTGGGAGCAGGGTATCCTGAAGGCTGGGAAGGCCAGGGGCTTATGGGAAATTACTGTTGGCCTCATGTTTCTCCCGGCACTAGTGAAGGTTAGGGGCCGGGACAGCTCTTTAAGGTACAGCCACCTCTTCATAAGGGGGAAGGCCCACATCCTGAAAAACTGAGGGCCAGGTCAGTAGCAAGTAGTAGAGCAGTCAGTAGAGAGGGTTGAATTCACATTTTGCAGGAGTCAACTCCTTACCCCCCAAATATGGGGTTGGGAAGGTGGCTCAGTGGTAGAGCGCTTGCCTTGCATGCCTGAGGCCCTGGGTTCAATTCCTCAGCACCACATAAGCAAAAAGAAAAAAGCTGGAAATGGCGCTCACAGTGGTAGAGCGCTAGCCTTGAGCTGAAGAGCTGAGGGACAGCGCCCAGGCTCAGAGTTCAGGCCCCACGACCGGACCCAAAAAACAAAACAAAATCCCCCAAATAAAGCCTTGTTGGGCATGGTGGTGTACATCTGTAATACCAGCACTTAGAAGGCAAAAGTGGGAGGAAATGAGAGTTCAAGGCAGGAAAGAGTAGGAGGAAGGGAAGGAGAGAGGAAAGGAAGGAAGGGAGGGAAGGAGGGAGGGAGGGAGGGAGGGAAGGAAAGGAAGGAAGAAAAATAAGAGCTGAGCCCCAGTTCCCTGAGCATCATTTCCTTGGGCTGGAAGGAAAAGCAGGCAGTGGAGGGCAGAGAGGAGTGGCTTATCAGGAACATACTTGACCCCACACTTGACTGCGACTCCTCCTCCTCCATCTGCTCCTGTGCTTCATAGCTCAGTCTCCCCTGCCAGGCTTCCAAGGTTCGAATCTCAGTTCTGCCACTTTCTAGCTATGGACTAGTGACTTGGCCATTTGTGCTCCCATTTTCCTTATCTGTGTAATGGGAATGACAACCACACTCCCTTGTGGTCTTTGGTGATTGCTCAGCTGCAACATGCTTGCCTAGAGTTCTGTAGAAAGCGAGTTCTTTGGAAAAACATGTCTGTATTTGTGAGCTCCCAATGACATTGTCCCCTGCAGATAAATTGGCCAAAGGCTTCCCCCTGCCTCTGCTAAGCCGTGTCCAGCTCTACGACCTTGCTCTCCAGATCCACAAGGTAATCGGGTTCACGGGAGCTTGGAGAAGCTGCTAGCCTGCCAGGCCTGGAGGCCATCACTCAGTGGATGGGGCCTAGAGGCTGGGAAAGCCTGACTGGAGCAGAATGTTCCAGGGCTTGCTGTGTGTGGAGAAGCCATCCACTTTAGGAGAGACATCCCATCTTAGAACAGGGAGTATTGAGAGCAACTTTGGATTCCACCATGAGGTCCCTAAGGGAACCTCAAAAACGGCTCATTTAAAAACCACCTCAAGCCAGGTGCTGGTGGCTCACGCCTGTAATCTTAGATGCTCAGGAAGCTGAGATCTGAGGATCACGGTTCAAAGCCAGCCTGGGCAGGAAAGTCCGTGAGACTCTTAATCCCAATAAACCACTAGAAAACCAGAAGTGGTGCTATGGCTCAAGTGGTAGAGTGATCACCTTGAGCTGAAGAGCTCAGGGACAGCGCCTAAGCCCAGAGTTCAAGCCCCATGACTGACCAAAAACAAAAAACTTCAAGCCAAGAGCCAGTGGCTCATACCTGTAATCCTAGATGCTCAGGAGGCTGAAATCTGAGGATCATGGTTCAAAGCCAGCCAGGGCAGAAAATTCTGTGAGACTCTTTTCTCCAATGAACCAGCAAAAAGCCAGAAATAGAGCTGTGGCTCAAGTGGTAGAGCTCTAGCCTTGAGTAAAAAAGTTCAGGGACAGGAAGTGGTGCTGTGGCTCAAGTGGTAGAGCACTAGCCTTGAGCTGAAGAGCTGAGGGACAGCGCCCAGGCCCAGAGTTCAAGCCCCATGACCGACCAAAAAAAAAAAAAAAAGTTCAGGAACAACACCAAGGCCCTGAGTTCAAGCCCCAGTACCAGTACAATAGAAAAAAGAAAAAGAAACAAAGTACCTCAAATTCTACACTTACTAATGGGTCAGGTTCTGAAAACTATTGATTGTAAACTATTGTTAGTAATTTCTTAACTCTTAAGCAGATGAGTTATAGATAGATGTTTAGTGTACCTATCTCATGTTAAACAAGTCTTATAACCCTATACACATTCTTTTTTAAATTAATTTACCTATACACATTCTTGAATATTATTTATTATCCCATTGCTCCCTCACCAGCCCTGTTTAGATTTTAGAATGTAGATTTCAAGCCCCCCCCCTTTTCAATTTTTGTTTGTCTGGACCCTTGCATTGCTAGTATTTACTTCTTTGTGTGTGTGTGTGTGTGTGTGTGTGTGTGTGTGTGTGTGTGTGTGTGTGTGTGTGTGTGTGCGCGCGCGCGCGCGCGCCCCCGCGCGCCCGCACATATGCTGATCTTGAGGCTTGAACCCAAGGTCAGGATGCTGTCCCTGAGCTTTTTTTTACTTAAGGCTACTACCACTTGAGCCATATAGCTCCACTGGTTTTTTTGTTGGTTAATTGGAGATATAAGTCTCACTTACATCTGTAAGACTTTGCTGCCCAAGCTGGCATCAAACCTCAGTCCTCAGATCTCAGTATCCTGAGTAGCTAGGATTATAGGAGTGAGCTACCAGCCCTCAGCTGAGTACTCATCTCTTTCTTTTTAATTTGTTTTAAACATACCATCACCCATTAGGCTTGGTTCTTGGGTGCGATCTAGTTTTCACCTCCCAACAATAAATATCTACACAGGGTCCTCGCCTATCGTTGTGCTTAACTGACTACCTCCATACCAGTAATTATGTCAGTTTTCACCATCCTGATGACTGTTCTGACTGCACCCTTTGTAGCTACCCCTGCCCCCACATTTTAAGTTATCTTTCTAGATACATCTCCAGGGTGGCTGGCCAGGCTGGTGGCACAGGAAGCTCACAGGAGATATCCTGTGGGGCTGGTCCAGGGTTTATGTCAGGAAATGATAACTATGAACAGGAATGAAGAAGCCGGGAGTGTCTGGGAACATGGAATTACTGACCAACTGTGAGATTTGGAAAACAAATGTCTAAGGCCCTTTGGGGGCTTCAGATACTTAACACTCAACTGCGGCTGAGTGGTTATAGGGGAAGTCAGGTGAGTATACACACTTAGCCCCTGAAAAATGGGGTAGGGCCCAGACCTCCCACAGATGTTAATGAATGTTAGGAGCCAAGTAGGAAAAGCTTTTAGTTCAATGTTTGGCACCTGGGAAGTAATTAGAAGATTCGTTATATTAACATATTAGATACAATTTTGAGGTCCACTGTGGCCCCGTGTTGGAGGCAAAGGCCCGGGAAGACCACCCTGGGAAGATTTGAACTTTGTCTTGAGTTCTGAATTCTTACCCACTCACCCCCACCTCACCCCCAGGGTGATGCAAATTTAAGATGGGAAGGAGCCACATGAACCCCAGCAGCTCAGGATTTCATGGTCTTTGCCAGGAAGGGAGAATTTAGGTGACACTGAGGACATCGACGAGGCCTGCTTGGGAGGTGTCAAATGGATGTCTACCTGGGAGAAGGTAGCTGGCCACCTGTGGGGCCTAAGACACTCTGGAGATTTGCACAAAGAACTGGTGTCCAGCAGCCCTTGGGTTTGCCAGGATGGAGGGGAGGGGAAGCTGCCTGTACATCTTTCTGGAATAGAGGATGTTCTTTCTTGTTTGCTTTTGAAACAGTCTTATTGTGTAGCCCAAGCTGGCCTCAAACTCATGATCCTCCAGCCTCCACCTCCCAAGGGCAAGGATCATAGGTGTGCCCTGGCTTAGAGTGAACTCTTTACCATCCCTTCCTGTCTCCTTTCTCCTAGGACTTTCTATACTTGGGTGCCAATGTCCAGTACACAAGAGTTTGAGAGTCAGAAGAAAAACAGGTCTTGGAGGCCACCGCTGGATGGGCCTGCTTCGTTTCCAGCTGTGTGGCACATCTCCAGAGCATTTCAGAAGACAGGGATATTTCTGTTCTCAGCTCTGAGGAGCTCTGCCCTCTTCCTCTTCATCAAGTTTACCCACCCATCATCTCCCTGATCCAGGACTCAAGTCTCCTCCAAAAAGGACCTTCTCTGAACTGACCTGTGAAGTTGCTAAGATCAGGCATTATACTGTTTTGTATGCCTGTATACCAATACCAGGACTTGAACTCAGGGCCTGAGCACCATCCTTTAGCTTTTTTGCCCAAGGTTGACATCTACACTTCAGCCATAGCTCTGCTTCCAGGTTTTTAGTGGAGATAAGAGTCTCGTGGGCTTTCCTGCCTAGGCTGGTTTCAAACCACCATCCTCAGATCTCAGCCTCTTGAGTAGCTAGGATTACGGTGTGAGCCACCAGTGCCCAGGGTCAGGCACTGTATTTATTATTATTATTATTCCCTCTGTGATCCCCTCCATCTCTGGAAGAATGCTAGCACTTAGTAGATCTGTAATAAATATGTATGGAATGATCTGATGAAGGAATCACAGTGTTCTTGCTGAACCTCACCCCCTTCTGGACTGTGGGGTCTCTGCCTGGTCAGCCCCAATCATGGCCTCCAAAGGTAGACCTCCAAAGGCAGTCCCCCAAAGGCAGTCCCCTCTCATTGGCCACTGTGGCTTCGACAAAAGCCACAGTGTACGCACGCCGCTCAGCCGGCTCCCTGATGCCTTTGTCTATGCTGAAGGCCCTCCCTTCCATGTCTGCTGCTCCTCTGCTTCTTGTCTGCTGCAGACCCCCTGAGCCAAAAGCAGAACTGGGGCCTCCTGCTGCTTTCTCCTTGGAAGCTCGTGCAGGCCAAGAGGGAGTGGATCCAACCAGGGCTCCGCTCTGACCCAAATAAAAAGCTCATCCAACAGTTGTTTATGAGCTCCACGCCTGGAGGGAGAGGCCAAGATTTCTAATTACTGAACAACGAGGCTTTGATCAGACTTCATAAAGAGTCATTTCTAAGTTATGTGGTGAGGCCCCCAGGGGCTGGGAGTCAGAAGGCTCATTTGATTTTTTTTCCCTTTAATTTCCTTAATGAGCAGATGGATAGAGCTGCTAGCTAGCAAATAATTCACTGTGAATAGACCCATTTACTCTGGATGTGACAGAGATGGGTTCCAAGATGGGACATGTGTTGTCACCAAGCATGTAGCAGGGTAAGCCCAGCTCTGCCTCCTGTTTGCTCTTCCATTCCTGCGGGAAAAAGTGACAAAGAGCAGAGGCTACAATCCATGTGGGCTCTTCTTCCCCGTCTGAAAGGTAAGGATGACGGTAATGGTGGCTGCCTCCTGGGGCTGTTGAAATAACAGTATTAGGTCATAGGTGAACAAGGACTTGTTTAGCCATAGTGAGGTTCAGGGGTTCAGAGTGTACTCACTGAGCCTCCTGTCTGCCGGATACTGGGCACCTTGGCATGAGAAGAATTAAGCAGACCAGACCCAGCTCTGGTCTCCAGAAACCTTGTGCCTCAGGTCTGGTGAAACAGCTGTGTTAGGTATGCCCAGGAGAACAGTTCCCTCTCTTCCCTTCCTCTCCATGAAAGACAGCACAAAGCCTTACCACAAATCACCTGCCTAAAACCAGTGATCACCTGACTGTGAATCAGCAAAGGGCCCCAGACTCTGAGATCACTTCCTCATCCGCTGAGGCCACTTCCTGAACCACCCTGGGTCACGCCTCCTTCCAACAGTGAGAGGTTGCCCAGGCTCTGAATCATTTCCACATCGGCTGTGGTCCCACCTCCCCCGGCCTTTCCCTATATAATCCCACTCACTTGTAAATCCCACCGTCTTCTTCTCTCCCTCTCTCCTTTTTTCTTCTCTCCTCTTTTTTTCCCTTTCTTTCTTTTTCTTCTCTTCTCTCCCTGCATGCCTCCATCTTGTGTGGGCCAGCAGTTTGCTTTCCCCCAATAAACTCTGTTCTTCCTGAACCATGTGGCGGTCTCCTTTTGGCAAACCTTACAAGCTGGACTAGATCCAGCTCCCCTGCTATGGGCCCCTGGGCAGATCGTCTCTGAACTCTGTGTCCTTGCCTCTCAGATGAGGCTGAATCGTTGCACTAGGTGAGGAGGAACCTGTAAGATACTCCCCAAGCATCTGTGAGCACCTAGAGGTGCAACCAGGGTCTGTAACTGGCAAACACCATGGCCATCTACTATGGTTTGAATGCAAAATAGCCTCCCACCAACTCATGTGTTGATAGAGGCCTCCTTAGGGCCTAGAGTCCCCTACCTCTTGTACCCAGTTGCCTTACTTCAGCACGGGGCTCTTGTTGGTGTTACAAAGCCCAGACATGCTGTTTGCAGGCTGCAGAACCCACACTTATGTATAATTCCCATGCTCCTGTGGCCGGCAGGATAGAGATGCAGAATTGACCCTGAGGCCACACCAGGACAACAAAGCTCGCTTGTGCATTAGCCCCACTCCTGTTTCCCAGCAGCACAGAGCCAGCTCTTGTCTCTACACCTACGGACTCACCTGACTGAGGATGGAAAGTTCAGGGAAAAAGTTATGTCACTATGGAACTGAATGGACTTTATTTTCCTAACACTGTTTCTTCAACCAGATGGTTTAAGCCACTGTTGGCACAGTATAACCTGCAGGGTCAGCTAGAGATTACCTAAAGTAGATGTGGGTGAAGTGCCCAGTTTTCAGATGCCCCCTCACAGACCATCAGAGACTACGATCAATGCAAACAGCAAAGAGTCGTTTATTGCAAGCTCGAGCCTGGTCCTCCGCGCACTAAGTAACCGGTGATCCTAAGAGGCCCCGAGCAGAAAATTAGCACAGCTTTTATAGTATCAAACAAGTTTAAGGGGTTTTCACACAAGCAAGTTCACAAGTTCAGCAAGTTCACAAGTTCAGGGGTTTTAAGTCCACCCTGACCGCACTTCCCTTTTTCTTTTCTTTTTTTTTTTGAGGGGGGGTCCGGTCATGGGGCCTGAACTCTGGGCCTGGACGCTGTCCCTCAGCTCTTCAGCTCAAGGCTAGCACTCTACCACTTGAGTCACAGTGCCACTTCCGGCTTTTTTTCTTTTTGCTTATGTGGTGCTGAGGAATCGAACTCAGGGCCTCAGGCATGCAAGGCAAGTGCTCTACCACTGAGCCACCTTCCCAGCCCATGCACTTCCCTTTTTCTGATGGAACACTTAGGCAACTGTTCCGTTCCTTAGGGTGGGTAGGGTTGGTGGCAACCTGCGGTTTTTCCAAGAACTATTTTTTTCTTTGGGGGTTACTCTGAGGGCAGCACAGCTACAGGTTGGTGGGGTTCATCTTAAAATGGAGTCACTTTAGCTCTTCAGTGGGATACTGGAAGGGTCTGTGCAAATGCTATTTCATGGAGGGGACCTGAATGACCTCAAGTTTGGGTATTTGCAGGGGCCTGGAACCTCTGCAGATAATGAAGGATGATTTTACATACTAGAACCAATGTGTGCTTATAACTCCATCCTGACCAGAGAAGCTTGCAGCACTTATTTAGCGCTCAGTTATCTGCTTGTCAAATGTCTCAAACCCAGTGCTTCTCACACTGCCTGTGCCCAAGAGAGTCTTATTGGGATGGAGATTCTCATGTAGATAGCCTAGTTGAGCTAAGACTCTGCATTCCTAGACACCACTGCTGGTCCTCAAAGCACTCTGTTGTGTAGAGAACTCAAGAACTCAAGTCCAGCTCCACAGGGGTAAGTGTTCTCAGTGCTGCCATCTCCTGGAACAGTGGATGTATATTAGGTATTTGTCACATGAGTGTATTTGGCCATGGATCATCAACTTGATCTAGATCTGATCAACTGAGAAACCCAACCAATACTACATTATCCCAGTAACCAAGCCAGGTGCTGGTGGCTCACACCTGGAATCCTATCTACTCAGGAACTGAGATCTGAGGATCTGAGGATCAAGGTTCAAAGCTAGCATGGGGAAGCAAAGTCTGTGAGAGACTTTTTTTTTTTTTGGTCCGGTGGTGGGGCCTGAACTCTGGGCCTGGGTGCTGTCCCTTAGCTCTTCAGCTCAAAGCTAGCGCTCTACCACTTGAGCCACAGCACCACTTCCAGCTTTTTTCTTTTTGCTTATGTGGTGCTGAGGAATCGAACCCAGGGCCTCATGCATGCAAGGCAAACACTCTACCACTGAGCCACCTTCCCAGCCCCTGTGAGACTCTTATCTCCAATTATTTACCAAAAAGCCAGAAATGGAGGTGTGCTTTAAATGGTAGAGCATCATATTTGAGGGGGGAAAAAAGTTCAGGGACAACACCCAGACCCTGAGTTCAAGCCCCAGGACTGGCACACACACACACACACACACAGAGTATTTGTATCATATTATTACTTATAATAAATGTAATATTAATATAATACTAATAATGGTAGAAACTGGACACAAGATATACAGGAACTCTGTTACCTTTTTCTGTTCAGGACTGGTTCTCTACTACATGAACCACACCTCTACTTCTGCTTAATAAGGTTAATAAGAATCTCTGGAGCTGGGCACTGGTGGGTCATGCAAGTAATCCTAGCTACTCAGGAGGCTGAGATCTGAGGATTGCAGTTCGAAGCCAGAGCAGGCCAGAAAATTCATAGGACCCTTATATCCAATTAACCACAAAAAAAATCTGGAAGTAGAGCTGTGGCTAAACTGGTAGAATGCTAGCCTTTGGTAGAGCGCTAGCCTTAAGCACAAAAGCTCAGGGACAGCACCCTGAGATTCAAGCCCAGGACCAACATACACACACACACACACACACACACACACACACACACACACACACACACACACACACACACACACACACACACACACACACACACACACACACACACACACACACACACACACACACACACCCTCTAGGATTTGTCTACTCAGGCTGGGGAATGGCTCACGTAATAGAGCATCTGCCTAGCAAGCATGAAACCCTGCATTCAAACCTCAGTATCATCTGAGAGAGAGAGAGGAAGGGAGGGAGGAAGAGGGAGAGAGAGAAAGTGAGAGAGAGAGGGAGAGACAGAGGGAGGGAGGGAGAAGGAGAGAGAGAGAGAGAGAGAGAGAGAGAGAGGATGAATGCTGGAATTGTAGAACTAAAATCCCCATTAGAAATAGAAACCCAAAGCCAGGCATCAGTGGCTCACACCTGTAATCCTAGCTACTCAGAAGGCTGAGATCTGAGAATCATGGTTAAAAGC